ATGTTGGATGGGGTGGTATGAGATCTTGAGTTGGTGCAGTGATTGGGAACGGTCGCCCGTACAGCCAGTGCCACCTGCAGTGGAGGCGTCGTTCATGTACATATGTAGAGGGCTCGTTTGCGTCCCCTGTGACCTTGGGTACTAAAACCTAAACTTTAACCCTTGCGCTTGACCTATTCATTGAACAAGTTGGGCGAGTAATTCTCCAGGTTTGCTCTTGTCTTCGAAGTTGAGCGAAAGTCTCGCCGCATCACGTGTCATATGTCTCGTTGTTTTTGACCACCATCACCCTGGTTTTCTGCGCCTGGAACTGCAATGTTGCGAGCCTAAGGAGCACAACGGATTTACACGGTCTTTAAACTGCTGAGTGTACGCTGCTACCTCGATGACCGACTGCGATGCCAGCCACGCTGGGTCCTGACACACCTTCTCGCGCAGTCGCTCTCCTGCTGGATCATGACTTGGACAACCTGTGCTTGCGCATAAACGGATATGCTCCTCGCTTTCCGGAATTTAAGCTCTGACCTTTGAAGCATCCTCTTACGCAGTCTTCTTCACGAGCCATCTTCCAAGCATCAACGGACGCATCGGACACATTCTCAGTTGGCGTATTTCCAATGGCTCTAAATCACACAGCGGCTTTCGGAGCGCTGCTACGAACTATAACAAAGGAAGAGCAGATTCCATGCAAAACCATGCTGCCGAACGCTGATTTCGCGCGCATTCATGTCCCGGTGGCTATCGAAAGCCGCGTAATTATTGACGAGACTAGAAAGGACAGATGGTCTTCCACAGCTCCATTTCCACCTCCAGCTCTTCTGTATACTGTGGAAGCGCTCGCGTAAAAGCATCGACCCACCCCCCATAGCGCTGGCGACGCCACAACGCCGTCGTGAGCTCCCAGTATTCAGGCATCCATGCCGCACATTGCCAATCAACCAGCCCTGTCGGCTTGAAATGCTCGTTCACGAGAATATTGTTCGGCGATAAATCCCCGTGAGTGAGGCATATGCGGTAGTGTTTTTGGCGGATGGAGGACGCGAGAGCACGGATCGCTGGGTCGCTGCTGGGCGGGAGCGTACAGAACGGCTGCGCGTGAAATACCTCCTGGGATTCGAAAGGGCCCGCGCGACCGTTGAAGCTGATTCGATAGCTGTCTAACGATCCTCCCAGAAATCCGCAAATTGAGCCGTCGTCGGCAGGCGGCGTTAGGCTACGGAGCTGGGTGAGCCAGTCACGCATGGTATCGGCGAATACGGAAAGCTGTTGCGCAGGCAAGGTGTTGAGATTTCCTTGCATGTCGGGGAGCGGCCGACCTGGTACTCGTGTCATAAGAAACAGGGCGCCTCGCCTCCGGTCCGGGACGACGTCGAGGATAGTTGGGACGGGGATAGTGGTATGCGTGGACACGTATTGGGTGGCGAGTGCTTCGCCAATGTCGCCGAATTTGGCGTAGAGGCGAAAAGGGAGGCGAGAAACGCGAGGAGATCCGGTCTCGTCGCCGACGCGTATCATCAGTCGATAGACGGATGTCCTAAGCGCCAGAGGCATGCGAAGCCACAAGGCCCAGATAAAACTGGACACAGTGAATTGTCTGCCTCGGCGTCAGAGATTTTGTCGAACAGAAAATTACACAATCCACCAACCTGCGATAAACGAACTTGCTGTAGTCGATATCTTCCATGGTCTAGCGTGAGGAAGGAATGATGATTGTCATTCTTTCAACTCTCTGCTGTTACCGCGGCATCACGTGGCACATGTCTCATTGTTTTTGACCACCACCACACCCTGGTTCTGTTCGCCTGGAACCGCATATTGCGAGCTTAAGGAGCACAACTGATTTACTGTCTTTATATTGCTGAGTGTATGCTACTACCTCGATGACCGACTGCGCTTCCAGCTGGCAGCCAGGCTGGGTCCTGATACACCTTCTCATGCCGTCGCTCTCTTACTGGATCATTGCTGGATCATGACTTGCAGAGCCTGTGCTTGCGCATGGACGGATATGCTCCTCGCTTTCCGGAATTTAGGCTCTGACTTTTGAAGCATTCTCTTACACCGCCTTCGTCACCAGGCATCGACGTACGCATCGGACACGATCTCAGTCGGCGTATTCCCAATGGCTGTATATCATACATAGCGGGTCTTCGGAGTGCCGCTGCGGACTATACCCAAGAAAGTCCAAACTACAGGCAAAATCACGGTGCCGAACGCTGGGTTCGCGTGCATTCCAGTCGCCGTTCTATTACGACCGATCTTTGTCCGACTTGTGATCCCCAGGCTAGGACATTCTGCACCATAGCATTGGCACGTTTCCTTCCTTCTATGCGGACCTACCGATCCAATACTCTCTTCCTCTTACGGTCTTTCTCCCTCTGCACCTCGCAAGTTCTTCAGCCCCTCAGTCCCCCCGTCGATCAACGTCGTCCTCCGAGGACTCTTAATCCGCGTCCCAATCACTTGGAGTCTGTCATAAACCCAGTCCGTGCTCTATGCGTCCCTACTTTCAACGATTTTACAATGAGGTCGAAAATCGAGGTCCCGTGCTATGGGGAGTAGGACGATGGTTCTTGAGAGACGATGTATGGAGCTCGTGATGGACGTGGGACGGGCGAACAGGTTGAGTGGGGGTGGGAGTAAAGTCTTATGGGGGTCCCGGAGGAAAGGTTCGTGAACAACGTTTCCTACGTTGATGAATGTAGAAAAGCGGGATGACGATTATCAGCGCGTGGGAAGCCATGGGTGCTGGTGATGAGAGCAGCGGAGCGGTTGTGCGTGAGTGCAACATTACCGTGAGTAAGCTGGACGTCCGAGTCAGCAGCACGTATGTGGGTATCGCTTTTTCCCAGCCCCATTCAGAGCAACCTTGCTTCCAGGAACGGCGTCCATATCTTGTCTTCGCCGCTGATCGTGCACGCCCTCAGCGAGACCGATGGCTTATCGCTCTGTACCATCTCATATGTTCATCCTCTCAACCCCTACCCTCGATCGCCGCCCGTCGCAAGACACGATCGACGTTCCGCTCACTTACTCGCTGTTCGTACAACTTGCGTCGCCCCTCCAAGGGAGCCAAGTCTCTTGGACTAGACGGCGGACGAGGCGCGATCGCATCATTATCATTTCCAATTGGGATGTACGCGCAACTGTACGTATCTTGCCTTCCATGACACACATTCGCAAACTCCAAGTATGTTGTTACACTATCCATTTATTCCGTTTCCGTACTACGAGTCGTGACAGTAGAAGTGATACATGTTTCCTACTTGGATGCCTCGAGAAGACGCTTTTCGGCCTCCTCAAAGTTGATCACGGACCAGATGGCCTTGAGGTACTGGATAAGGGCACGCTTCGTCAGCTTCGAGCATGAGAACAGAAAGGAAATACGTACGTCGGCCTTGACATTCAGATATTGCAGGTAAAACGCATGCTCCCAGATATCGACGCCGACGATGGGCACGAGCGAGAGGAGCGGGTCCTGGTTCGGCGTCGTCGCGATCTCCAAGCGTTTCGTGCTCGGGTTGAATCCCTGCGCATATACTTAAGCATCCTAGACAAACAGAAAGGAGAGAGAGCACGCACGAGCCAGCCCCAGCCAGATCCCTGGATACCGAGCGTCGCGGTATTGAACTCCTTCTTCAGGTTCTCAAGGTCACCAAACGCCGCTACGATCGCGTTCTTGAGGGGTCCATCCTTAAGCAGACCGCCTGAGCCCTTGCCCTCGTCGGAAGGGGGAGCGAGGTTGTTCCAGAAGAGCGAGTGGTTGATGTGACCTGGCGGGATAAGATCGCGATAAGATAAGGATCGGACAAGAGGAAACTTGGACGTACCACCGCCGTTGAACTTGAGTGCAGCCTGGAGTGCGATACGCTCCTTGGGTGTGGAGGCCTTTGCATATGCAGCCTCGGCGGCGTTGAGCGCGTTCACGTAGGTCTGGTGATGCTTCTTGTGGTGGAGCTCCATGATCTGCTGGGAGATGTACGGCTGGAGGCCATCGTAGGCGTAGGGGAGATCAGGGAGGGTGTGGGCCATTGCGATGGGATGTGGGAGGGCAGGAAGTGGGCGGAGATTGGGAGGATGGGAAGTCTATTTATGCGTTGTTGGGCTGACGCTTTGGATTAGTGAGCCGTTGGGGCACGTGGGCGTGATGGGGTGATTTGCGATTCGGACTCTGACATTCATCTTCTTCGAATCTCGACAGACTTTCGTGAAGTAAAGCAGTTATGGTGCATGCCGTCGGCAACTTCAATGGGTTTATCGTAGTATTCCTGCCTTCCGCCTTCTGCACTTCCTTTTTCTTTGACTCCTTGCCCTGGATGTATCACCGCGTTCATCAATACTACTCCATCTGCGTCTTCCTTCTTGGTTCGTCCTCCTTGTTCTCTGTGATTTGACGTCTCATTTGTTGTTTCGCCTGGCCGTGATACCTCACTTCCGTCGCAGCCGCGTCGACCGACTGCTCAGGACGAACTCTACCTTCATTCCAGGCCTTCGACTCCGCACTCTTGAGCTGGATGTTTAGAGGTAATTGGAAGTACGGCTGCCGCCCGCTTGAGATTCAACATGTTGTACATGCGGAAGATATTAATTTGTTTGGATACATATGCTATATTTCTGGGATTTTCTGTGTAATGTCATGGATTTCCGACGCAGAATGCGGTTACCCGCCTACTGTAACATGAAGGCCCGTGCGTACCAGAAACGGCCGAGGTTGATCAGATGATCGCTACGTTAAGCAACTGTAACCTGACTTCGACTCGGTCATAGAGCAGCAACCACGATGTCTTCGCTATTGCATTGCCGGCTGCTCGACCGTTTCAGGACTACGGCGTGCTGCCAAATATCTCCTCACTGGGCTCCGCGCGTTACAGACCGCGTTCCCTGTCGCTGTGTCATTTGGACTTCATTTCGAACTCTCTCTGAGGGATCCAAGGTGGATCTTCCATATGTCGGAACAGTCCGCCAAAACGTACGAACAAAAATATTGACAGGGGCGAATTATATGATGAGAGGGGGATTCGAACCTCCGGAGAGACCAGATGACAGGTTTCCACTTTTTTTGGATTACGTACCTTAGTCTGGCGCCTGGGACCGCTCGGCCATCTCACCATGCAGTGCTAGTCATCTAGAGTGAAGTCGCCAGCCTGTTCGACTCCGTGCCAAGAAGAAGGTACAAGGGTTGGCGGGACCCCACGGGAAGAGGACGAGGGGTTGACCTTTCCATGAATGTCAGTGGGTCTCCGCCGCGGTGAGTAGTAATCGAAACGACGAGCCGAAGTGCTGGTGAGGATCAAGCAGAAAATGGCGGAGGAATAGTCGAGCCGGTGAAGAGCCAGTAGACGGGTATTTCGGCGAAGCCCCATCGTCGTCAGTCATGACATAGCCTGGTCGACCTTCTCCCGATCCCTGCGCACCAAACGACCTACCCGGGAATATCGCCCGACGGTTCTCTTCGTACTATTCATCGCACCTTTGCCCCAAGCAGAGGCCACCGCTCATCCCACCTGAATTTCCCAGTGTCGGATCGGAGGCTGGTGTTAAGTAATGTGGTTGGGAACGAAAAGGGAAGAATGCTTTGTTTGGGCTGCCAGGAACAGGGACAGGCAGCGCGGGACCGTGCGACAGGAGCCAGACTTTACGCCTCCCCATCATGGATACCGACTGGGTTTCTCGGGCACCGACCTCGCGAGGCATACGTGACAGGACCCAGACAAGGCATGTCGGAAGTTTTGAAGGAGTAGAAGTGCGCGGGGACCCGGGAGATGGGAGCAGTCGGCTGGAATGAAGTTTGAACGTATCGTCACCCCTGCTCTAGGTTATTTGAGTGATCTCCGGTGGCCGGGATATTCGCGACCTGGATATGCGTCGAGTCTAAGAATTTCGGGATGATTCTAAGGAGCCTCGAAGATCACACCATATAACGGGTCAAAGTGAGAACAGAGAATCGACTGTTGTCGGCAAGTCGTCGGTGAACTTCAGCCTTCAGAAAGGTGTTATTTGTGCTTGCTTGTTCCCCAACCCCCCGGGCCGGCGATTCCTTATCCTGCTCTCAACCATGACGAGCAACACTCGTCCACCTTTCTTCGTAGCAACCATCTTCGCCACCTTGGAGAACCCGATCATAGTGGACTCAATCGTTCTGAAATCCCTCTCAACTGACAGGAGTTGGCATTGTTCGTTAGTATTCTGGCAAGCCTTTGCGCTCCATCTTGCGAAATTCAATATTGGCTTCATGACGACAGATCCCCATATCTGGTGAACCCACTCCTTGGTACTTCGAAGCAAGATTTTTCAATGAACGGAAGAGCTTCCACGAAAGGGTCGGCGTCAAACGTTAGATAGCGACTGCATGATTCCACGAGGTCTAAATCAAAACATAGACCCAAAAGGTAAGTTGATCTCAGCCGTTTTTTGCGTCAACCAAATGAACAAGTGGTACCCAGATCAGGACCCCCGATAATGCCTTCAGAGGCTAGGTGCCGAAAATTCTCGATTTCGGGAAATTTGTCCGGACAGAAAAAACGTTCCCACGCTTTCTGACCTCGGTTTTGCACCTCCCAGATCGCGCCCATAATTTCTTTCTTCACCGTTCCGGATGATACGTGTAACTTCAATCGATACCGCCATCCATCCACACGAGCCCTCGATGTCACCATGGCCAGATGCCTGAACCTCTCTCGTCAGCACATGGCTTGGCATCACATCATTTCAAAGATCTGCTGGCATCCTCCCCTGCCGGCCTATCCTGCCCTTCTCCCTCTCTCCGCTTCTTCCAGAGTCAACGCCATCTAGCGCTGAGCTGCCCCTCGCTGGGCCCAGCCCATTTCTCCACCATGCTCCCCATGCACACCGCCGAACCCCCGAACACGCCTCACCGCCTCGGCCGGGTCCCGTTCCGACGCATCTCAGGGCGCTGGATCGCCTTCCTATGTCTTTTTGCCACCGTAACGCTCTTCTGGCTCGCAGCCCCGCTTTCCTATCACCTCCCTCTACCACATGGACTTGGGCCTGGGCCTACGGACCCAGAACCACCCTCGCGGCCGGGGAACGGACAAGCGACGACGATCTGGGATGAACGGAAGGACGAGGTTCGGAGGGCGTACCTCCATGCGCTGGTGGGGTATAAACAGCATGCCTTCCCGGCAGATGAGCTGCTCGCGCTTTCGGGTGGAAAATCGAACAAGTAAGCCCTATGCTGCTGATCACGACTCATGGGCGCCATTCTGACCTTTAGCTACAAGGTTCAACGGCTGGAGCGTCACGCTGCTGGACTCGATGGACACGATGTGGATAATGGGGCTGCACGATGAGTTTGCGGATGCGGTGGAGGTAGTCGCAGGCCAGAATTTCACCACTGGGCAGGTACGTACCACTGTTTTCTCATATGTTCGAAGATGAGCTGACAGAGCCGCGAAGGGATATGCCCCGTTTTTCGAGACTGTGATCCGCTATCTGGGGGGTCTGCTCTCCGCGTATGCCCTCTCCGGGGAGCCGATCCTCCTCGCTCGTGCAGACGATCTTGGGACGCTGTTGCTCCCTGTGTTCGCGGCGACGTCGTCTGGATTACCCGCCTATTCCGTCAACACCGACTCGTAAGCCTGCACCTTACCCGTCTGAATAGCCTTGGCTCATATTTCGTAGAGGGAGCACGGCGGGTGGGTGGATGGGCAACATTGTTCTTTTCTCGGAGGCGACGAGCTGTCAGCTTGAATTCAAGTACCTCGCGAAGCTGACGGGGCGGAAGGACTACTACGCCGCGGTATGCCTGGTCCGCGTAGCCTTGTCTTTTATGTTTCTGACATACATCCAGGTGGACAAGGTCATGAACAGGATGTACGAGGCGAACGTCAAGGATGGCCTGTTCCCGCTTACATGGTCGCAGAATGGGAGACCTCTCGATGGTACACGATTTCAACTATATCTAGCTCAAACTTCGCTCATCACAGCCCGATCAGAACACTTTTCCGTCGGCGCCTCTGCTGATAGCGGGTACGAGTACCTCCTCAAGCAATACCTCCTCAGCAACGACACCAAAGCCCTCACCCAATGTTCGTAAACCCTCCTCCCATTCATGCTCCTCCTGCTCCCGCTAACGGACCCATTTAAAACAGACCTCAAGTCGATGGACGGCATCATCAACAAACTCCTCCACGTGACACCGAACCGCCACCTATTGTACGTCGCCTCCACCAACCGCGGCGTCGTCTCCCACAACCTCGAGCATCTCGCCTGCTTCCTGCCTGGTGTCCTCGCCCTCGGCGCGCACGCCATTCCGCCATCCCTCCTGGATAAAAAGACACGGGAGCGCCATCAGTGGGCTGCGGAGGGTCTCGCGTATACCTGCTACGCGTCGTATGTGGACCAGCATTCGGGGCTGGGGCCGGATGGGCTGAGGATGAAGCCGGGGCGACGGTGGGTTGAGGTGCTGGAGGATTGGGAGAAGGAGGGGAGGGGAGGGAAGGGGCCGCCGGGGTATGTGGAGAGGGAGGGCAGGGGTGCGGACGGGGATGGGCTGGACTATGAGCTGGCGTCGGCTGTTTACTTGTTGAGGCCCGAGGTTCGTTCTTCTAATCTGATATGGTGTTGTGGCACCTGAGGCTGACGTTGCAGTAGACAGTGGAGAGCCTTTATGTGTTGTGGAAGACGACAGGAAACGTAAAGTGGCGCGAACGAGGGTACGAGATCTTCACTGCGATCGAACGAAATACGAAGACGGCTTTTGGCTATGCTTCCGTCGATCAGGTTGATCGTGAGGTGGTGCGGAAGATCGACGATATGCCGAGGTATAGATGATCTTCTTTCTCTTGCATATTTCGCCCTGCTCATATAGCCATCCGTAGCTTCTTTCTGGCCGAGACGCTCAAGTATCTTTACCTCCTCTTTGAGGACGGCGACCCTTACCCGTTCTCGAAATGGGTGTTCAACACGGAGGCACATCCACTGCCGGTGTTTGAGTGGGCGGAGTGGGAGAAGAATACATATAACATTACGGGATGATCTTATTCGTGGTTACTGTAAGTCCTCTGGTGTCCATGTTTTCGGGAATGGATCGCCGATGAGGGCTCAGAATCTAGGATGGATGGATGACTGTCGCCGTCTAATCGGAGGACAATCTATGTGGCGAAGTATCGCGCCGCGCCGCCCAGGAATGTATTATGGGGCCGTAGATTTCGTTGGGTATCATAGGGTTTCATGTTTATATTCTGCTAGGGGTACATTGGTGGCACACAGTTGTCGAATTGATTGGTCTATCTCGTTTTCCTTCTTGTCATCTGGGGTCTACTATGTACCAAAGTTTGAAACTCGACACTGATGGATGCTGGATCAGATAAGATAACGATTCCCCTGTTGCAAGATTCTGGCTTCGAACCCTGGCAAGTTATACCGGACTCGACGCCATAGCCATCCAAGCCTATCCACATGTACATCCTCTTGGTCTCGCGCCGTTACACCGTGCCCGCTCACCCAATCTATCCAGGCATCACCTAGTACTAGCACGGTGATCATGAATATTCCTTCGTTCTGCATGTTGTTGACCCTTTTCGGATCGTATCATACCTCGCCCACTCTGCCCTATCCGATCTGATCACACCTTTCTGAATCTCACTGAGGTACAAAATCGTCTCTCAGTTGATGGGCCGGGACAGAAGACCTCTCATATCGAAACGGGGGTCGTATCATGGGGGTTGTTTTTGGTCGAATGTTTCCTCGTGATTTGAGCGCTCTGACACTGGTAGCAGTGACAGATGCCATTCACGTGCGTATTAGCGCTCCAACGCAACTCGAGTCAGGACTCTGCAGACACGTCGTCTATCCCTCGACAAGGACATCTTCACTATTGAGCCAGCACTGTCCTAATATGTCCGACTCTACCCATTTTAATCAACGTCATATCAGGCCTGGGGCAAGCATAGATCTCACCGAAGCTCACAACATGCATATCAGCCACAGCACATTCAATGACGTGCAAGGAGACTTCAATACGTATAACTCAAGCGGAAGCATGTCTATTAATTACAATGAAACTGGTGCGCACCTCTTTTCAGGCTTTGATACGGTCAAAGTTGAGATGTTGGAACCGAAGGCCTCGATACTCTGCTGAGGGCGTA